CGCTGTAGGTTGGAGGCCATCCCTGTAGGTTGGAGGCCATCGCTGCGCTGTAGGTTGGAGGCCATCGCTAGTAGGTTGCAGGCCACGCTGTAGGTTGGAGGCCATCGCTAGTAGGTTGGAGGCCACCTCTATAGTAAGTTGGAGGCCATCGCTGTAGGTTGGAGGCCATCGCTAGTAGGTTGGAGGCCATCGCTGTAGGTTGGAGGCCATCGCTAGTAGGTTGGAGGCCATCGCTAGTAGGCTGGAGGCCACCTCTATAGTAAGTTGGAGGCCATCGCTGTAGGTTGGAGGCCATCGCTAGTAGGTTGGAGGCCATCACTGTAGGTTGGAGGCCATCGCTAGTAGGTTGGAGGCCATCCTTTTTGAGGCATTTCAGGTCCGAAGCCGTTCACAGGAACACTAATTGGTGCCAACCTCGGGTGACTGGATCCTGAAAAAATGTCTATTCCATTCTATTACAAGACTTCAATCTCATCGCAACGCAGGAAATTCAGTTCCATCGCTTGCAAAACTGCAAAATGTAAACCTTTTGGGCATTGGCACTGGTGATAAATTCTACTCAACCACCAGGTCCGATCTGTTCGTTTGTTCGGGTTCACAGAGCACGATCCGAGCTTGTCCTGTAGGTTACATTGAGCAGATCCTACTCAAGGAGTCAAGCGCTTTCCATGGGGCGATGGTCGACCGTGGCAGCATGTGGCACGTCTGTGGCACGTCCGCGGGTTTCCGGGTCGAAACCGCAGAACATGTGGGACCAATCGGGCCCAAGTGGCTTGCTCTTCGGAGCATGCGGAGGTCTTCCGGTGCCATTCTCAGACCCCCCAGAAGACGCCGCTCCACGTGGGACGAGTGGGTTGGTTCGGCACCTGGCGGCGGGGTCGCGATCAGGCGCGGAGGCCGGACGGCGTCAGATCGGTGGTGAAGACTGAAGGGTGCAGGTGGAGTGTTTTCGTGGGGACTTTTCTTCTGGAGTGAAGACTGAAATACACCCATGGGATTACAAGGCTGAAATTGAGGAGTTTGGATGCGCATGGATGAGCATGGATGAGCGATTTCTCGCTGAGAAATTACAAGTCCTTTTGAACGTTCAAAACAAACAAAGAAAAACTGTTCAATGATTGTACGAAAGCATGAGTTTTCAACTTTGTCCCTACTACTGTTGAATCAGGCAATAAATTCTGCACCACCCAAGGTGGAATCTGGTTTAATCTTTCCAGCAGGTCGGACCTTTCATGGCCGTGTCTTGGATCGTAAGGTAGAGAATCCGTCAGTCAAGTACATCCTGGAACCCCAAACAACCAGAAACAAATGGTTGTTCCAATATGGCAATTGAAATCCTTTACATAGGACATGGTTGTTTGGGGAAACATCCATTTCTTTCTGGTTGTTTGGGGTTCCAGGATGTAATTATAGGCGATATGAAGTGCTTAAGCTGGGTTCCAGCGAACCAATGAGGACAAACTTTCTGCACCACACCGCAGCCATCCGCCTACTCCGATGATACTGTATGTAGAGGATTAATCTATATATATATTATATATATATCAATATATATATATATATATCATAGTTGGTATAACTGGTAGGTTGGAGGCCATCGCGGCTGTCGGTTTCGTCTTCCAACGGTTTTGCCCCGGACGTCGATCCCAGGAGCCCGAAGACTCCCCAGGCGTCGACGGCGTCAACGCGTCTCGTGAGACAGACGACCGTTTTTCTCCAAGAAAAAAAACAGAACGAGAAACATCCCCCGAAACCACACCCAATCCCGAATTCAGACGCGAAACAGGTGTGGAAACTGGGAATTTGTATAGAATTCCAGTGGAAAGGGTTTTCAAGGTGCGGACCCCCTCGCTGTACGGGGTCCGACACCTTTTAGGGAAGAAGAGCACAACGACACGGACAGGGAGGTTACATCATTTGCTGGAAGTGGTGTTTGTTCACACTTCGCATTCTACAGCCATAAGAAGGGTTTATTGGTTTACAGCAATTTGGGCAAGCTATAGGGTGGATTTAAATAAGAACTACAGGGTGTATTCAAACAAGAACTATGCGAACCGTCATCCAATTGAATCCTAGAAGCCTTGAACCGTTGTGCTGCTCAGTAGGAGAACAAGGTTGAACACGATGCAGCTCTTTTGGGAGCTGGGAGCTTTCCACAAAAAACAGCACCATAAAATGCATATAAAAGCATAGGCCACCGAGTTTCGTTTCCGACCGGATTTGGCACCCGTGGCGGACGAAGCAAACCTCTGGCGGGTCCACGGGATGAAGCGGTTGGAGCGCCAACTTCACCTGGTCAGCTTCAGGGAATGTAAATGTGCCTAGCACTTCCAACGGGTGCCCTGGAGTAGGAGACCTGTTTACGTAGGGTAGTCGAAGGCCAGGAAGCTAGTATGATTAACATGGAACCCCAAAACCACTGGGGTAGGCAAATGGTCTTCCACCGGCCTATGATTATTGTACCTATTGTACCCTCCAACAAGCATGGAAGTAGACACCAACGTGTTTGTGGAGGGCCTATGTTCCACTGCCTGTTGGAGGGAGGATAATTATATTATAAGTTTGTTTAAGAAGTGTGTTTCCTTCTCGGCAGATCACCTGCCAGTCCGAGAATGAGGTCTTTGGATATCAGTTGCCAAAGAGAATGGATTTAGACATGTAGGATTCCTCACCATTCCTATGATTTCTGTGGTGAACCTTTTTGGGTCGAGTTGTTGGATCACCCCTCCGATGTGGATCGACGGGATCGACGGGATGTTTGCCGACCGACTCGAGTCGCAATTCATTGCTGAGCAGCTCAACCTGTAACAGACAAGACACCCAGATGGTCCAGAAATAGCAGAACCTGACCGACCCTGTTTGAGCCAAAACATCTTGGAGTCTTCTCGAATAAAAACAGCTGAGGTCATGTTAGGGTTCTAGAATGTTCTAGATATGTATACATATTCCGTGTATCCCAACCAAAGCTTCGCCATAGGGATCCAAGTACCTCCACAGAAGGTACTTGGACTTGGACCCTCCAAACCTACGTCACAGTATATCCAATCACCGTACCTCAGGTTCGGTACGACTGGATCCCAACCGGGTGGTAGAACTTCTTCGCGCTTTACTCTACTCCTCACATCCTTCGCGCAGTGATGAAGGACGCGCACGACTTTTGGCCACCTTCATCACAGCAGCAGCGCAGCAGGATGGGGCGACATTCGCAGCAGTCTCATGTTTACTTAATTATGTGTTGTTTGTTTGTTGCAGCGGGGGATTTGATGGTTTTGGGGCATCATCTTGATTTGTCCATCACTTTATGGTAGAGTATGGTAGAGTATTTCGGATGATAGACCTCTCCATTCTTGTGCCGCTGCCGGATCGGAAGCACCTTCGCATGCTGGATTCGCCCATGCACTCGGTGGACCGCGCGGTGGGCGGCGCCTCCCCTCCAGGAGCGCTTCGCCCGACAGAGCCAGCACTTGGACGCCTTCATGAAGGTCGGGCCAAGGGATCCCTCAAAATCCAGTCGTACCGAACCTCAGGTACGGTACGACTGGGCCCTCGAAACTTACATAACGAGTGTCTCCAATCACCTTATCTGAGGTTCGGTCCGACTGGATCCCGGGATGGACCCAGCAGGACCAGGCCCAGCGGACGCCCAGCGGGTCGGTAGAGAGACGAACTCCACCGTGGACAGAGACGTGATAAGTCTATTTGGGGACTGAGCAGCTCGATTTTCTCGGGGACACGGCCTGGGTTCCGTTTGAAAACGGCCTAGCAATTGGGTAGGTATCCCAGACACGACCAGGTGGGCCATGGGACTAGCTATATTTCATGGTAATTTTGCATATACATTGGGATGGTTGAAGTCGGGGTCATGGTAGGTCAATATTCCAGTCCCAGTCCCATGGATGTCGTGAAAAAAGATGGAGCACTTCAGCACCAATCCCGGATGGTGAAAACCAAGGCCAGGGGGGGCCAGGGGCCCTGTAGAGTCATTTGGTTCCTGGCCTTGAAACGCCATCCGACATGAGAAGTTGTTCATCAAGAAGTGTTTGTTTTTTTTCGCCGGCGGCAAAACCATCGCACCAAAGGTCCTTCCTTACGGTACCTGCGCACCGAGGGGGGCTCCAATTAAGCCGGTTTTTGATCGTTTTCGCTGTTCCTCCCTCAGAGATACAGAGAAGCCTAAAAAACAGGACCCTTTTTGGAAGGAAAGTGATTTTTGCTAGGGCATCCACGAAACCATGATTGTTGCAGGGAGTGCTGGTGCCTCGGTTCTTCCCATCCAAGTCGTGCTGCCCGAACTCGTGCCAGGAGCTCACTGGTGCCCTGCAAGACTTCCAGGTGCGCAACAGCAGCTGTTTGGGCGGTGTCCCCGACACGACAGGATGCTTTAAAGATGATCAAAGCGCTACCCAGACACGACACGACATCCATGGGACTGGAATATATGCCGCCCCCATTGACCCCGACTTCAAGCACCCCCATGTATGCAAATATGCCAGTCCCATGGATGTCGTGTCTGGG